CAAAAAGTATGACATTTTGCGTGAGCGAAAAATCGAGAAATATGCAAATAAAATAATTTATGAAAAATTCCGGGTCTGAATGGGGATTGGAGCAGGGTCGTTTGCATGACATGCAGATGTTCTATCACACATCCGCACGTCTCCTTTTCTTTGTAGCGGTGCTTTAATCTTGAAAAGTAGAATTTTTTTTACGTTTCTTTTATGAGCAATAGTGATTCAATGCGAGGCACCCAATCAGGCATATCATTTTGCATTTTTTTTTTTGCAATTCCAGATATGAAGTTAAGGACCCTCTGAAGTATTCTACAGCTGGTCTATCATCGACACCAGCATGGCGTATAGCCATGCACGACCTCCAATTACCATACAGAGCCAATAACATAATAATGTCACAGGGAAATCCATCTTCTTTTACTTTGGCTAGACACTTTATTCTTTATACGTCCAGCAGGAAATCTTTCTTTAATGTGTTTTGCAGGACATCCAAGAAAAAGACCCCGTATCAACAATGTAAACGTGCTCGCTTGTTTCCGGCTTCCGACACAAAAAGCAGCGATTACCCCACGGAATGAATATCTCTTTGTCAGACATCCACGTCTTAACATGCCAAAACACCAGCATGAAGCTTGAAGAAGATTGTTTTTAGCCCCAGACACACAGGCAGACGTTTAACGTGATAACATTTACATCATAGTGTTGAGAGCAGTATGCAATGTAGCTGGAACAACCAATTTTTATACAATTTTTTGCAAGAAATTGTGCCTAAATATTCCAAATGAAAACGTGCTTTTAAGCGCAATGATTCGATTATTTCCTTAAAGTAACCTTGCGTTCTAGCTTACAATCTCAATCTAACAGAAGACTCAATAAACTCGGGCAAAGCACTTGCTAACCGCATATATCACAGACAGAGCGCATAAAAGGATCCTCATTGCGAATGTACAAAAAACGGTTTACAATCTGTCGGGGAAATAGCTACACCACGAAGACCATCACGCACGCACGCACGCGTCGAAACAAGTTTGTCCGGCTTGTCGTCTCCCATGTGGATCCCCAAATAAAGACGGCAAAAAGTAAGATCAAATTTCTGCACATTAGATCGAGAGCAGTGCAATACATGCAAAACGTATACCACGTTTTTGTAATGAAGAATAGGTTGCAACTAATGGCCATGCGAACTAAAAAGCAATAAATATTTACCCGTGCATTCCTCTACCTTTTACAGATTTCAAAAGTATTTTACCAGTGTTGTCACCTATTGAACGTTCGGGAAATAGTTTGGTGCGAGTTCCCAATTTCCATGCCAAAAACCAAGACACTTGCCCAGTTACCCTCGCTTCCACTAAACTCGCAAAAACGCTTTGCTATGTTAACTGCCTCTGAGATACTTTCAAGGTATGTACAAAAGATTTCTAGGTCGTACGCATATGCCAGCAGGCGCACTTCACATGCATGAAGCCCGGACCCTTTGTGTTGATGGATATTATACGTAGCAGTAGCTTTCAACATGACATTTTAGCGATTACAGCAGTGTCACCAAAGATCGGAATGCAGCCACACTCAGTCGCGCTCTTCTTCGTGTCTCTGAGTGTGCTGTGAGCTATTATTTTTCACCACCTAGCCCGGTCAAAAACAATCGACTTAACAGCCAAGAATGGCGGCGAGCACCCATACACCTCAGTTAAAATAGCAAAGGGAATAAAGCTTTATATTGAGCAACCCCTCTGTGCGCCCAAAGTGGGCGGCTTCATTATTTCAGCAAGCCGTGGGCTTTCGCCACCTCCCGCACCCCTTGAACCAGGCTTCGCCGATTTTTCAGGCCTTTGTCCGATAATTACGCCTCCCACTGCTCTTCGGTTAGTGTATACTGATTCTAGGGTTTCGTCAGCATCCCCATACTACACGGCATAGTGTGCACGGAGCTTGTAAATGCACGAGTGCTCAGTCCGTGCGATGCGGTGAAGTAGCCTACCGTGAACGTAAGGGTTCTTCTGCAGCTTCCTGGGGCTTACTGCCTATTCTCTAGTCAGGCTGGGGTGACCTGGCGGATAAATTGGTAAGCGGTTTCATAAATAATTCTGCCGATGACGAGTGCAGCTTGGAACAGTTTGATCGTGTCTTGTTCTTTCAAGCCGTACGATACCAGTCTTACCTAGTAAGCAACTTGCATTACACAGTTTCTTGAAGTTACGATAATGTGGCTTCACCCAATCCATCTTTCTGCATGTGTAAACCGCAGACTCCGAGAGATTCTACATTAGAGATTTGCTCTCAATCAAAGCTTTGGTTCTGCGATTATTGGCAGTAGTACCCTTGTTCTGGCTTTTAACAGAAGCTCCACTATTTTTTGATGCACATGCGAGCCCACAATCAATTGAGGTAGTTTGCTGTGCGATCCACATTCCTCTTGAAGTGCATCCTTCTCAGCTGCCAGTTGTCCACATAGGTCATCTACATATACGGCGTGGCTTATCCAATGTATGCCTTGTAATATGTTCGACACTTTCATCACAGCAATACTAAAAAAAGAGCACGCGAGAAGACAGCATTGAGGGGTCCGTGTGTTGCCATTCCTAACTGTCCGATTTCAAAGTGCCTAAGGCACAGTGCTGCTGTTTTGCTGGTAAGAAAGTTTTGAGCGTGAAAGTATGCTCTTTTGCCACAGTGTGTGTCCTGGAGGTTCCTCAGTATCGCGCTATGAGAAAACTTTGTCAAACGCTCCTTTCACGTCCAGTGAAAAGACTGACTCTTACTGTGCTTGAAAAATGACATTCGATTTGACTGATGACGAATTATGCCCGAGGCTTTTGTAATGAGTTGGAGCATTTAACAACCACTCATTATGCAATTCACATGGTTGTTACTTCACTGTTCTAAACTGCTGTATAAACATAATAATGCATTCCTTACCTGATATGAAGCCTGCATTGGGTCAGTTTGCAACAGTGTTTCCAGCAGCACTGTAGCTCAGTGGCAGAGTATTGCACTGCCATGCATAAGGCCCGGGTTCAATTCCTACTTTTTTCGGGGCATTTCTGGTTTATTTAGTGTTCTGTTGCCTTGAGTGATAGCGGTTGCAAACACTGGCAGCGCCAGATATACGGTGCCAGAATCGACCCTTGTGATCTCATAACAGCTTTTGCTGTAAGAAAGTATTGTATCATTGCCATGAAAAGGTTTTATTGCCCTATGTACTGTTCCATCTATGCTTGTCATACGTCCTACAATTTGCGCCAGCATGCTCAACTCGACCTGAAAGGACACTTTGCCGGAGTCTTCACAAGGTGTGTATACCAAGCTGCCATATTTTTGACACACAAGCAGAGTTTGTGTATTACATTTTTTATTGTCTTACAATGCACACACAGACACACATGCAAAGAAAAAAAAGGGCTCACACAGGCGCACATAAAAATCTGTACAGATTCTCTTGTCCCACAGGTGATGCAGCACACAAGATAGCACAGCGTGCATACAGAGCATGGTGCAAAAAACAATTTACACCCATGCCGAAACAAGAACGCACAGCGATCGTCAACGTGTTAAAACAAGGGCTGGAAAAGGGATAACAAAATAAATAACAACAGAAACGACAACACACCAGTCTTGCTCTTCCTGCAAAGCTGTGACAAGCATCTTACAATGTCAGTCCTGCAGCTATATCAATATATCAATAGGAACCAAGCAAGAAGGCATTTGCCCATTACCCACACATTATTTCGCAGCAATACCCATGTTGACAAGTAACACTGCTCAAATCACAGAGCTTCCCCATCTCTTAAAAACGGAATATCGCGAAAACATGCAAGCATCTCATGTCGAGAAGTAGCACAAGAACTGGCCAGGAATTTCATCATATGACCAACCACATGCGCGGGACGTAGTGGATGCTACAAAAAGGCAGCATGCATGCAAAGTGGTGTAGAACTTGACTCGCAAACAGCCAATGCTTACAGGGTTAGTGCTTCAGACCCCAATTGACCCGTAGATATTTTCTGCGTGCGTACCTTACTGGTGCATTCCCGTACTGCTGTTTCACTACTACAATATCCAGTGGTGTTCTACAGTGAGAAGTTCTAGTAGGACAGCATTCACATGAGGTGCATTTTTATGGCTTTCAAGTGGAAATGCTATGATAAAAAGCAAATGCCATATGTTTTTTTTTACGGTCAAATGCATCTCCTGCTGCCATGAGGTCTTGGGTACAATATCCAATTAGCTCCGCCTCAAGGCTTTACATAAGCGTTTAAATGCAGCAATTCCTCTTCAGTCTGACAAGGACTGAGGCAGCACGAACATAGGCACACTGCGAGAGTGAAAATATTATAATATCACGAGCAAACAATCAGCTGGATGGAATGTCAAATACTAGTTTTGCTTTTCTACAACTTGTACAGAATTGCAGACCACGATACTACTGCATTACTACAACATACTTTTCTAGTACAATGAGCAAATTCACTGAAGCAATGAGCTGATGTTTCAATGTAAGACTAAAGCTTTGTTTTTCATGTGCGCGGCACTATGCGGACAGGAGGGCTCGTATCTCATGCAGCATGCTTCTGCAATGAAGCATGTGGCAGCGCACCGAGCCGGCAGTGCCCTCATTTTTCGCAAGGTCAGCAAGATGAAAATGTACTGTGCCTCGTGGCACAGCTGCCATTTCACCAGTTGTCATCTTTGAAAATGTGCGGGCCTAACTTAGTTATCGAGATCACAATTCACGCTTGGTTTCCTTCATTATGGAGAAGTAATAGCTGCACACTCTATTACAGAGACAAAAAAAAAAGCTTTTGCACATGCAGAAACTGAAATCTTTTCACAATATGTACGTACTTTTGTCGAGGTGCTATCACACAAATAACAACACATACTTCTTCAGTATTTTTTAGCCGTAATTACACATGGTCTGTACAGTCTTGTGCGTGGTTGTAACACTCACACCACTCATTCATTCAATTAACAATTACTGTCCATTAACATACGCTTCATCTAACAAATTTCACAAAATTCATAAGCAAGTGGCAGAGAGCTTACCTTGAGTGATTTAGAAAACATGATAGTACTAACACTGGCATGCAATCACTTCGCTGGCTAACTTTAAGAAATTCACAAGCAAGCAACAATGAACAGAATAGTTCAGGAAGCAATTTGCGAAATGTGAAAATCCCGCGACACACGTTGCCATAGATTCGACTGTGAGTTGATCTTGAATGCTTGTGCCTTTATAGTGCAGAAGCTTTCAACACACTTCAAAGGCCCACACTGACTTGAAAAATTTTACAAGACGTGGAAAGCGAAGTAGCCAGAATACAATCTAATTGTCAACCTGGCACCTACCACTATTCTAATGTATGCAAGTAGAAGCAAATTTCAGTGGCACAAAATGATAGCTTTGCTGTTCCCCAAAGCACTCCCAAAGACGGTCAAGGTTGTTCAGAGTGCAGCAAGCCTAATGTAACAATCTAAGCTTGCCATATAATGGTCTACATTCTTTACGTTTATCAACAAATCAGGGTAAAAGTAAGTACAATTTGTGACGATCTTGAAATTAGACCACTTGGTCGAAGCAGTAATGTCCTTTCCCAGCAGGAATCCAAGCATACTTGGCTCTTTTCGCTCTACAATAAAAATGTAACAAATATCTAAATTTTGTCATAATTCAGAAAAAACTATTCGCAAGAACAGTTAAAGGGGCAGGCCAATATCCGGTGCACATACACAAAATAGCAGTAGTAATTTACAGTGAGCACATCTAAGATGTCTCAAGGTTTTATGAACAAAGCACGAAAACATCCTAAAATTATCTGTAGACAGAAGTCTTCAAAGTGAAATTTAGTATGCTATTCGTGCGACAGTGGATGCTGCTATCCAGACATCTCGCAATGGCCTGTCCTTACAATACAGAAAGAGTAAGGAATAGAATACGTGAGCCGACCAAGCTGCCGAATCATACCCCAGCACTTCAACTTTGAATAGCCAACATGAAAGGGCTGCTCCTTTCTTTTCATGCACTGCAACCACCCAGCCTAAAGCAATGCCACTAAGAAGCCTAGCTGTCGTGCCCGTAAATCACACGCAAGAACAATCTGAAATAGCGTTCATCCGTCCGCACCACAAGTACACTGATGGGCTGCGTCCGCGAAGGGTGCATCGTCCATTCTCGCGGCTAGATGTGTTCCAAAGATGCAAGCTTCACAAGCTGCTCATCCAGTGATGTGCGTTGCTGAAGAAACTGCCACCTCGTTCCCCAACAGTCATTAAATAGTGAAGGCTGCACCGGGCAATGACTGGTACTTTGTAGCTTGCTAGAGATCCCTCTTGCTAGTGGAGCGAAGCTGGTCTGAGCTTGCAGTGCGTGGGCGCATGTTAATCAAGTTGCTCTTGGCCTGTACCAAAGAGAAAAGCAAGGGGTGAGCACGACAGAACAGTAACCAAACCTTCAAGCTGTGATTACAAGTGTAAGCAACAATACCTTGGAATGAAAGGGAATGAAATGGCAATGCTTCTGCAAATTATTTTCATTGAAATTCTGTCTGTACTCAGGAAAAAGCAAAGCAATCAAACTTATTCACTAATTAGCAAAATTCTGAGAAACTGCAAGCAGTGTGCATACTTTCCTTATGCATACCTTGCTTCCTAGTTTTATTGTGAAAAGCAACAGGGTCCAGAATACTACCGTATTTACTCGAATAGTCCTCGCACTTTTTTGGCGGAAAACCGATGCAAATTTAGGGGAGTGAGAATTACACGGGAAAACTTTCCACGCAAACGCGCAGAGCAAAAAAGGAAACAAAGTGACCGCAAATCAGGATTCTCACACCACCAACTAACAGCAACCTTTGAGAAGTATTAATTACAATTTACCTCAATAATAAAAGCACAGGTTCCACACAAGGCAAGATTTATTTGAGAAACAAAAAGTGCAAGCAAATTGTTGAGAATTAGAATACCATACGCAAAGCTTCTGGGCGTTGCGGGCGTAGCGGAAGCGTTCGTCGCTCAACAGGAGCCCTCAAAATCGTCTCCAGAATCTTTCTGAAGAAATAAAGTTTACCATCAATCCCAGCTTTAGGCACACCATAGGCCCAACGCGTCTTGGTGGCTTTCCGCTGTCGTCATCAGTAGCGAACACAAAACTGGTAGACTTTGAAGGGCCTACCGGCGGCCCTGTTGCCGCTGTTTAGTGGATGATCTATCGCTTTCAACTTGGAAGCACCCGTGTAGCTTCAGTATCGCCCCATATCGTGACAAGATTACCGACACAACATACAAAACATGTCGCGATGCGCACTTGCCACTTTGGCTTGGCTTGAATTGGATTGAATCACTGTGCAATAATAGTACACTTGATGCTTAACGGATGACGCTAGATGGCACGCACTATCATCATCAGTGGCTCGAACGAGCAGACAACATTATTGCGGCAGTTTTCAGTGGTGCGATAATTACTCGAGAAAAAAAAAGAAATTGTATTTTAGTCTCGGGGGTGCGAGAATTATGCGAGTGCGAGGATTAGGCGAGTAAATACAGTAGAGGACATGAAGCATGTTGTATTTTTACTTATATTTATTTACACGAATACCCGCAGGATCATAAAGGCATTATTGCAAGGGAAGGGGGGGCAATTGAGAAGAAAGTAGTTGCATAACAAAATATATATAAATTTGCATACAAAAAGGATGAAAATATGAGGTAATTACAATACGGTGGGCACAGCATAGAAAAGTGGCAACACATACAAATGAGGTAATCATCTTGAATGTAAACAACATTTAATCAAGAAAAAGAAGAAAGAAAAAAGGCAAAAGCAAAGAAGACGGGTAATTTAGGGCTTACGGTAGATTAGAATGTAAGAACAATTGGAACTGGAATAATGTATTACAAGTAGGAATAACCCTTACGAAGTCTGTTCCAGTTCACGTAAGTGTGGGGGGAAAAAGGGAACACATCGGTGGCATTTCAGCATCTTACACTCATGATTACACTCGAACCCCGCTACAACGAAACTGACGGTGTGCAGAAAAAATTTTGTTGAAGCGAAAATTTCGTTGAAGTGAAATAAAAAAAATATATAGCTCATCTGAGCTAGCAAAACAAAGGAATATTTATTCTCAAAATAAAAAAAAAATGTCCACTGCTTCCTATTCTTTCCCAGCAGCGTTACGACGTCATTCTCACCCATGTATAGTGAGGTCATGGTGAAAAGCTTGCTAAAACACGCCTAAAACCGCCTTCATGAAGGAACCAAACCGTTGCATTAACACGTTAGCACCAGCAGCTGTCCGCCGTCAAAAGTATCTGAGAACGCCGAGATTAAGACGGGGTATCGTGGAGCGGCGACTCATGCATTATTATATGCCGTTCTTATCATCCAACACTCGCGGCTAGCTGATTTTGTTGATGATGCGCACGAACAGCCACTCTGTTTAGTTACCACAATGGCCAAGCGCGAACATAATGATAAACATCGGAATCGGAAAAGGCATCGTTTCGAGGTTGCACCCAGCAGCTGCGTGAAGGAAACCGTGAACTGAGTGACTGAGGTTCAGCTTCGGATCGTCTGCGGCTCGAAATAAGTCGATAGCAAAGCAGGGCAGTCTCATTGCCATCGCTATCGAGCGATGGCGGCGCCCCTGCTTGTTGAACAGCGGCTGTAGAGTAGCGGCAGTTTCTGGTGATGCCAACGCATATTTTAGACTTCGTTGACGCATTTTCAGGCTCTGAAAATGCATCGAAATGTTAAAGATAGGGTTTACTGCATAGCAATAAGTATCTGAGCCTGGAATTGCATCGTAAGATTCCATTGAAGCGGGAAGATTGAAGAAAAAGTGTGTTGCGGCGACAATATTTATGCATTCACTTCTAGAAAATGCCGACGGGGAATCGTGAATTTTTCATTGTAGTGGAAATTTCGTTGAAGCGGCGTTCGTTGTAGCGGAGTTTGACTGTACAACATCTAGAGATGGAGTGAGGTTGGAAAATGTACAAGGTTTTATTCATTACTATGAGATCAAAATAAATTTATTAAATAACAGTTAGGTGGCATTTAGCTAGAAATTTCCAACTAAGATTGTCCTTAATTATTGAAATGCTGCTTTTATAGATAAAATTACCAGTGACAATTCTAGCTGCGCGTTTCTGGTTATGCTCAGGTTTATCAATGAGATAAGACGTGTCAGAATCTCATGCGGTGCAACCATACTCAAGTATTGGAGCAACATTCATATTATAAAGTTGTTCTTTAACGCTTTTGGGAACATTATAAAGATTCCGTCTATTGAGGTAAAGCATCCGGGAAGGTCTAACAGTGACATGCTCAATGTTTCTAGTCAAGGTCAGATTTTCTGAAAAACAAACCCTAAAATATTTGTAATGTTGAGGAGGAGGAGGAGGATTGAAAGAGGAAGGACAGAAAGGTTAGTCAATTCTCAGACCGGCTGGCTACCCTGTATTTGTAATGTTGCACATGTCGAAGGGATATATGGCCAGGGTGAAATATATAGGTTCACATTAAGCACTGCTCAAACTCACACGGTTCGGAACACCAACTACGAATTGTGTTTAGATCAATTTGTAGACTATTATCATGGCGTTTATTTGTCCTGTTCCTATATAATAGCATTCATCTGCATATAATCTGACATTACACTGCAGACCATATACAGTAAAAGCTCGTTTATTCAGATTTCGTTAACTCGAAAATTCGGTTAATACAGACACACGGCACGGTCCCGGCAAAACTGTGAATATTTCAATAGTGTCAAATGCTCGTTAATTTTGAGGAATTTAGATGTGCACCGGTCAACTCGGACAATTCCAGAGAGGGCTATTGGGGCTCCATGCTTTCATTTACCGTTTCCGGTTACTGAAAGCATGGGAGTCCCGGCTCAGTCGGTGTAATCAAAGGCGGGACCGAAGCTTTGGAGAAACCAAGAATGGACAGCAGCAGAATATGATCATGAGCAGCAGAATATGATAGTGAATGAGAAGAGAGGTGGCCAGGTGACGCTAGTCACCACCCGCGGAAGCGCTTGGGCCACTGATGCATCCAGTGTCTGCGAAATGTGCCGCATGCACGGACGACGGGACAGTTTGCGCAGCCGCCGCTACCACCACAATGCCTACGCTGCTGATTTCCTTGTGTTGTGACTTTGCACATAGTGTGTGTAGCTCGGGTACATCCAAAGAGTTGACTGTTGGGCACGTTGGCACTTTGACATAAAAAAATGTCGTTACGTTGTCGGGCGGTGTTTGTGCGCATTGATGATGGTGTGGCTATTGCTGGTTTGCTGACTGATGATGACATAATATCCGAAGTGCTTGAAGAGGATCAGAATCATGGTTCCGATTATGGCATTCAAGATATGCTGACGCAACATCGCACCGTGCAGGAGGTTGCCGAAGCCCTGGCTGTTTTCGCGGAGTTCTGCATCAGTTCTTGCGACAGCAAGCATGCACACCAACCACCACATGGGATTGAAGAAGATCATTCTAGCACTAATTCCGATGACGAGGCAGACTAAGTTGATGCAGTTTTTTATGAAATATAGGTTTGACTGAGCCGAGCACATTTTGCTTTTGTTTTAATGAATCATTTGATAATCCTGAATTTGGTTAACTCTGACATTTTCACCAGTCCCGTGAGATCCGGGTCAACCAGCTTTTATTGTACAATATCACTGATGTAAACAAGAAATAACAAAGGTCCTAAAACAGATCCCAGTGGCACGCCTGTGATTATAGTTGTTTCAGTTGATCGAACACCTTTAATCAAAATATGCTGTGTTGTTCTGGAAAGGTAATGCCTAATCCAATCGACGTTAGCACTATGAATGCAGTGAGATGATAATTGAAACAACAACAAATCATGAACAACACTATCAAAAACCTTTTTTGAAATCCTAAAAAATGCAGTCTACTTGAAATCCAGAGTGATAGGAATAAAATTGATGATAGCAAAATTAAAACAAATCACATTGTGAAGGACAAGCCAGCCCAAAAATCATGTTGAGCTTATGAAAAGAAACTCTTGTTTTGGAGGTATTTCATCAAAGCACTGCACATCATATACTTTAACGTTTTGCACCAAACAGAAGTGAGATCATTTTGTAGTTACACCACTTTTTATGAAAGGTAACAATAGCTGCTGCTTTCCATTGGATTGAAACCAAACTGCAGTGCTGGGGCTTATTGTACAAGGCGAATAAATGTAAGCAATTTCCTGATGGCATGCTTTGATTACCTTGCTTGATATGCTATTGCATTGTTTTTTTTATGTCAGTAGGCAGCTTAAGCACACCATTGTACATGGCAGTAACCATAGGCATATTCTCGTAGAGTAAACCTGGCGTTTCGGGAGGTTGATTAATGCGCATGTTAGAAAGCTTTGATCTAACAAGGTAATTGAAAGTGCAAGCCTTCTCGTAATCATCAAAGACTGCTTCTCCCTGGACTAATAGATTAGGTATTGCATTCACCTCTTTGCTAAAAACTTTATAAATTTCCAGAATTCTTTGGAATTATTTTAGAGCCTTATACCGAGTGACGATTTTTTTTAATGGCATGTTTTGCATTTCTTCATAAATAGTCTGAAAATTTTTAAAATATGCAGCACAAATGCAGTATTTCCTACTAATTAAAGCTCGGGTATGGCCATGAATATACACGATTAATATAAGCACATCATTTTTCCCACAGTGAACCAGTACAAGAAGTTTTCTTCTGAAATTTCACTTTCAAATGTCGCTGCACATTTGGGGATCAAACCTGTGGGCTCCACTCACCAGAGGAACGCGTTCTTTAAACCTACACGGAAAGTCTCACAGCTGAAACAAAACCTCAAACAGGTTTAGGGACTGAATAAAGCTAACATTATACAAACTGACACCAAAATACCCAATTCATAATACTCATCTCATTGTACACAATTATAGTGACTTGAAGACTTAAATATCTTCAACATAAAGCTGCTTTCTTACTTTGAATTGTAACTCAAACATATGCTCCCAAACATGTGTTCTGCCTTTTAACACAGCTTTCCACTAACACATATCACAAAAGCATTAAGCGTAGCACGACTAGTGCATATACATATACACACAGACAGAAGTAACACGCAGCACTGTGTGTACTGCGCACAAAAAATGCTATGATTATTTTTGCTTGGTTCTTCCATTTTTTTATTTGTTCACAGTAATATAACACTGAGGAAGCAGCTCTTTGATCATTGAAAACACAAAATGAGGAATAATAGTGACTCATTACATTAGCTGCTAAAAACATGCCTTCCCTACAACACAAAAACAAGCCTAAGTCAAACAACCCCGATTTGTTTTTCTCAAGACATGTGGTTTGTTACATAACAGGTGCAAATTAACATTAACATAGAAAACAGAGCCAGGATAAAGCACGATCCACATCCATCCTGTCAATTTCATCTGGGTACACGTAAATCTTGCATCCTTTATATACACCACTGCACACAAAGTGCTAAAAGAAATGACTCAGGTGTATACCCCAGGCTGTAGCACAGGCAGCATAAATAAGTACCAGATGTCAGTACTTTGTTGTACCTATTATTCATGCCACGCAAAGTAGTCACACCAAAAGTACTGCGATGCACTAATGCCTAAGTACAGCACATGATGTCTCACCTGAGGGTCTGTACTAAGGGCGCACATGGAACTGGCGCGCTTCATTCTGTATAGAGAAAAAGAAAACAGATAAGCAATACAACAACAAAACAGCAAGCATATCGACAACATCTGTTCTGGCTTAATTTTCCCATTAATTCTCTCTTACCGATATATACGCTGCCATGTCCCTGGTATCAGTAATACAGTGATAGTGCCATTCACCAATGCTACCGCGAACTGACTGTAAGAAGTCGGAAACTGCTTAAAAGTGAGTACATGGTAACCCAAGGAAACAAACAGGAGAATGCGGAGGTTACACACAGTCAGAAATGTCGAAATGGAATAGCATATTTTCTAAAGTGAGCCAAACCTGCATTTCTCAAGAGCTGCACGTAATTCTCAAGAGCTGCACACCTGAGGATATAAATGAAGGCAATCACTGCTGTAGCTTAAATGATTTGCTACTGCATGAATCATGCTGAGGATGTAGCTCTGGCTCCCATTACCTTTTTTTATTATTACACAATTGCATTTTCTCTATTCTGTACCATGCTTTGCGGCCACCATTATCAGTGTGCTTATAAAAAAAATTCAAATAAGGTACAATAAACTATACTGGGTAACTCTTATGCTCTGCTTAGCTGCTAGTACAAAGAAATAGGCAGCACATAATCACTGTCATATGACACCCGATTTTTTTTTTTTCATCTATGAAATAAGAAGAAAGGCTGGAACAGATGTGCTTAAAGAAGCGACAAAATACTGTGAACAGTGCTAATGTCATTGCCGTGCCTGCAGAGCAACAGTACTGTTCATTAACTGTAACAATGTATGAAGACCTTTTAATTACTAGGGCTCACTGTGAGTGACTGCAAAGAAGGACACACTTTTCATCATGAAGAGCTGTTCTTTAATCATAAATAAGAAGCACAATTCGCAACAGTATTGCAGCACAGTAAGATCCTTCAATATACCAAATGGTTGCCCATATAACAGCATGTAAAGCAAGTTACAGGTGGAGACATGTAGCAAGATGACACACCAGAAGAAAGAGGGTGCACAGACACTTGTACTATGGAATGTAATGAGGCATACACAACTATGGCTACGGCTATCCTCATCTCAGTCTCAGTACAACAATAAAGGAAGCACCAGGCTGCTAGAAAATTCTCAAGCCACTGTCGTGCAACTACTCTCACCAACAGCCACTGCACCGAAGCAATCTCATTTCAAGCCAGAAAGACCAATTAACAAAGTCCCTTAACCAACATTCACAAGCTCACTTTCCTTGCACACAATGCTGTAGCTGCGTGCAAACATGAAACAGCTGCCACTAGATGTTAGTAAGTCAGGACATGTGTTAATAGGCAGCAAGCAAGTCATAAGACGATTTGACAGGCACACATCACGCACACATTGCCCTCACTGATTGTGCCACTGACTTTTCGAGACAGCAGAAGTTGTTCCTAAATCAGTGAACAGTAGTAAGTGCACAATAGTGGGTGAGATGCAGAGCCCACTCCCACAAGTTGTCTGAGTTCTGTATCACACTCAGAAAGACATAAGAGTTGTGGGGTGAGATGGACAAGAGAATGTTGCAGCACAATTGCAAGAATCCCACCGAGTCTCTGTGCAGAGGCAAAGTTTTACCGTAATGACTAAGCATGACTTTTCATTAATGGGTTTTTTACACAGCAAGCCCCTGTAAACAAGTAGCAGTTCCTCCTTTGTTTTTTTTAAGTGACTGCTAAAGAAAGGTCCTTAACCTGTATCAATGGTGATGAGTGAATTCTACGACTATTAAGAACAGAGTAAACACAAACTGCCAATGACTGCTATCGTTCTGTGTTTCTTTTAGCCATCTTTGTAAACAAAAGCAGTGCAAAGTTTACAGTAAATGGGACTGACACAAATAACCCCCGACAAAGGAAAACAATAAAAAAAAACAAATGTGGCCAGGAGATAAATACTGTCACGGGGTCGTGACGTGGCAGAAGACAGGAGACTTTGCGTTGGGATTTAACTGTTTATTTGGGCAAACCTGTGCCCGGTAAACGGAAAGTCCGATTACAGTAGCAGTCTTGGACTGATAGCAACAAACGGAGCGTCGGCCGTCGATCAACTACTGACGAGCGGCGAAGTACAACATCACTTACACTGTTGCCATCGAATGTTCTAGCGTTATCGCTGGCGGTGGCATAGGTTCCAAAATAATCTGTACAGTTCGCAGAGTGGGCGTGATCTTATCGAAATGATCTACTGAAGTCCGGAAGCTTCTCGAAAACTGCACGCGCGTTTTGTGCTGAGAATTGTGTAGTGTTTTGGGGCGATAAGAAAACTTGAGAAATGGAACGTGGCATTGCCCCCCTCTGAAAAAAGGCATCGTCCCGATGCTTTAAATAAAGATGAAGGTACAACAATAATGCAAGAAAGTACAATGAATTAATTATGATACAATATTAATACAAAAAAACACTGTTTGAGTTTGTTAACCTGCATGAAACGGCTTGAGGCGCGCGACATGGACGACTTCAGGTCGCAATCGGCGTCGTTGAGAGTTCGTGATGCCATCGGGGACAACCTCGTAATCAAGTGGGCCGAGACGTCGAACCACCCTGTACGGTCCGAAGTACCGTCGCAGAAGCTTTTCACTTAGTCCACGTCGGCATATTGGCGTCCACACCCAAACACGTTCACCTGACTGGTATTCTACGAAGCGTCGTCGAAGATTGTAATGGCCCCTGTCGTTCGTCTGTTGATTCTTGATGCGGAGACGCGCGAGTTGCCGGGCTTCTTCGGCGCGTTGAAGGTACTCACTCACATCGAGGTTTTCTTCGTCGGTGACGTTGGGTAACTGGCATCAAGCGTCGTTGCCGGGCTCCTTCCGGTAGACCAATTGTATGGAGACATCTGCGTCGTCTCCTGCACCGCCGTGTTGTATGCGAAGGTCACGTACGGAAGAATGGCGTCCCATGTCTTGTGTTCGACATCGACGTACATTGCCAGCATGTCGGCGATCGTCTTGTTTAGCCGCTCGGTGAGGCCGTTGGTCTGTGGGTGGTACGCTGTCATCCGGCAATGGTTTGTCTGGCTGTATGCCAAGATCGCTTGAGTTAGGTCAGCAGTAAATGCCGTTCCTCTGTTGGAGATAAGGACCTCCGGGGCACCGTGACGTCGGACGATATTTTCGACGAAGAACTTAGCTACCTCGAATGCACTGCCTTTTGACAGGGCTTTTGTCTAGGCGTAGCGGGTGAGGTAGTCGGTAGCTACCACGATCCATTTGTTTCGGAAAGCCGACGTCATGAACGGCCCCAGTAGGCCCATACCAATCTGCTGGAAAGGTCGGTGAGGTGGTTCAATTGGCTGCAGAAGTCCCGCCGGCCTTGTCGGTGGTGTCTTGCGTCGTTGACAGTCCCGGCATGTCCTCACATAACGAGTGACGTCGGTGGTAAGACGTGGCCAATAGTACCTTTCTTGTATCCTCGAGAGCGTGCGAGAATCACCGAGGTGCCCTGCTGTTGAATCGTCGTGCAGGGCCTGCAGAAATTCTGGTTGCAGAGCTGAAGGCACCACAAGGAGGTACTTGGCTCGAAGCGGAAAAAAAGTTTTTCTTTTGGAGAAGACCGTTTCGCAGAAAGAACGACGCAAGTGCACGCTTGAATACCTTCGGGACTTCGGCGGTCCTGCCTTCGAGGTATTCTATTAGGGCCTTAAGTTCCGGGTCGGCCCGCTGTCGATCAGCGAAGTCGTCGGTAGTTATCGTTCCCACGTAGTAGTCGTCATCTGGGTTGTCGGGTGGTGGTTGGTCGACAGGCGCATAAGAGAGACGGTCGGCGTCGGAGTGCTATTTGCCGGACTTGTAAACGACGGTAATGTCATATTCTTGAAGTCTCAGGCTCCATCGTGCGAGGTGACCTGAAGGGTCCTTCAAGGTGGCTAGCCAACACAAGGCGTGGTGGTCGCTCACAACTTTGAAGGGCCTGCCGTAGAGGTAGGGGCGAAATTTTGACGTAGCCCAGATGATGGCGAGGCACTCCTTTTAGGTTGTGGAATAATTGGCTTCTGCTTTGGATAGCGATCGGCTGGCGTAACTAATAACCCTTTCAAGTCCGTCAGCCCTCTTCACAAGAACGGCGCCAAGACCTACGCTGCTTGCGTCAGTGTGTATTTCTGTCTCGGCGTATTCGTCGAAATAAGCAAGTAACAGAGGCGTCTGGAGGCGATGCTTAAGCTCCTGGAAAGCGTGTTCCTGCGGCGTTTCCCACTTGAAGTCCACGTCGGCCTTGGTAAGGTTAGTGAGTGGATCGGCGATGCGGGCGAAGTTTTTCACGAACCCCCTATAATAGGCGCACAGGCCCAGAAATCGGCGCACCACCTTCTTGTCAGTGGGCGGCGGGAAGTCGGCGATGGCGGCTGTTTTCCGTGGATCGGGACGGACTGCAGAATTGGTAATCACGTGCCCCAGAAACAAGAGCTCTTCGTACGCAAATCTGTACTTTTCTGGATTCAGTGTGAGTCCGGACATCTTGATGGCTTGAAGTACAGCTTCAAGGCACCGAAGATGCTCGTCAAAACTCGAGGAAAACACTACGACGTCGTTCAAGTACACAAGGCAAGTCTGCCACTTCAATCCTGCCAGTACTGTACCCATAACGCATTGAAAAGTTGCAGGCGCTGAGCAAAGGCCGAAGGGCATCACCTTAAACTCGAAGAGGCCGTCCGGTGTTATAAATGCCGTCTTCTCTCGGTCTCTTTCGTCGACTTCGATTTGCCAATAGCCAGTCTTGAGGTCCATTGACGAAAAGTACTTGGCGTTATGGAGCCGATCAAGTGCGTCGTCTATTCGTGGGAGAGGATACACGTCCTTTCTTGTGATTTTGTTCAGGCGACAATAATCGACGCAGAAATGTAGGGTCCCATCCTTTTTCTTCACTAACACCACGGGGGACGCCCATGGTCTCTTGGACAGCTGGATGATGTCATCCCGCAGAATTTCATCAACTTGTCTCTTTATGGCCTCACGTTCTCGTGTCGAAACCCTGTACGGACTCTGACGGAGTG